TACAGAGGTTTTACAATACACTTCAATAGCCCTTTATGATAAAAATTGCAAATATTTTTTTCTTGGATTGTGAATTATCTTTATTAATTATGGTGCTTTTTGAAAGGTAAAAGTTGTCAAGATTACTAATATTTTCGTTTTCTGCTTCTAGATATTGAATTAGTTAATAAAGATTGCCCCACTCAGTTATGCAATTGTTCACCCTTATTTTCTTCTAGTAACTACATTTTAAGCTTTCAGTCATTTTAGAATTTATCCTAATAGTTTTGAGGAATCGTTTCATTTTCAGTTGTCTTTTTTAAAGACCACTATCTAATTGATCTTGCATCATTTATTAAAAGTTTTCAGATTTATTTAGTTTGCTGAGTTTACCCTATACTAAATTTCATATACACTTGAATTTTTGTGCTGGGTTATCTGTCTGCCTATATATTCATTCACCATTGCCATTCTGTTTTAGTTATAGAGGCTTTACAATACACTTTAATACGTAGTAGTCTTCCTCCCAGCCTTCATTTTTTAATTTTATGCTTATCCTTCCTTCTTTATTTTCTAAGCGAACTTTGAAATCAAATCAAATGTCAAAATCATTGGGGGATGACAATTTTCTTTCTTTTTAAAAATTGGGATTACATATAAATGATAAATTATAAAATGGAGTCTTCCTGAGTATCACAAACAATGCAGCAGTTGACTAGTAACCTAAAGATTAGCAGTTTGAAGCCACCCACAGGTGTCTGGGAAGAAATGCCTGGCAATCTGCTTCCAAAATGTAGCAGGCATTGCACACAGGGCTTCTGTTGTTGGAAACTCATGACAACAGGTTAAGAACATAAAATATGGCTCCTTTATTCCTACCTATTTTTATGTCTTTCATTGGTATTTTAATAGATTTTCTCACATAACTTTTAGACATTCTTGTTATGCCTAAATTTTTGTTGTTGCTTTTTGTAAACGAAATCTGTTATTTCTTCTACTTCACAATTCTTTCTATGTGAGAAGATTATTGGTTTTTTTGCTTTTAATCTAATATGTTATTTCTTGTGTTTGTAGTAATTTTCCTATCAATTACTTGAGTTTTCAAAATATTTGATCGTTATACAGAAAACTATAAAACATTATTGAGAGAAATCCAACAAATAAAATAAAATTAAAAGGGATTCTATTATACTCATGGTTGAAATACTCAGTTTATGAAAGGTGTCAGTTGTCCCCAAAGTGAACCATACATTTGATGTAATATTTGTCAGAATCTTAATAAGTTTTATTTTAGAAATAAAGTGTTCAAAGTTAATATACAAATGGAAGAAAAACTCAAAGACTTAACTGTAACATAAAAAAGCAAAAGAAAAAATAAAACAACTCACTGAAGTAGTAAAAAAAAAATACAGATCAATTTCTTTATTGGTGTGAGAAAGACCTTTCTAACTAGTATTCAAAACCAAAAGCCATGAAAGACAAGACTGACAAAGTCAATCACATAACAATACGAAGGCTGCAGAGCAGAATTCATCAGAAGCACAGTTAAAAGGCAAGTGACAATCTGGAAAAGCATTATCTTGCAACTCACATTACAAAAGGCTCATCTCTCTAATACATGCAGAGCTTCTGGAACCGGAAATAAAAAGGAGCCCAAAACTTCCTTGATAAAAAGTTGGGTAAAGGACATTTGCAGTATGCAGTATAAATTAATGCTGTCATTTGTTTTTGGTTACAATAACAAAATGTCTAAGGCAACCCGAGGATCCAGTGTAGAGGACAGAGTAACTCAGACCTGGATTCTTCACAAGATGGATGTCATGAACCTGTGGAAAGCGCTGAAGAAGACCTGTGTCCTGTCAGGAACTCAGCTCCAGGACAAATTGCTAAGTGAACAATTTATGGTACAGAACACATGTGCTTTATGCTATAAAAGAGTGGGAAAGAACAATATGTATAAGTATTTTGCTTGTATTTGCATAAAGAGAACTGGAAGGAAAACTTGTGTGGGCAGGGACATGGGTCTAGAAGTTGACTTCTTAGTGCCCATCGTTTTATGTAATTTTACTTTTTGAATCATTTAACATAATTTAGTCAAAAGAGAATAAAAATGTAAAGATACAGAATCAAAACAATGATGTTAACTGCCATGTTCTGACATTCAAAAATATTGTTACTAGAAGAAAATATGGGTGAATTATTGCTTAAATGACTGAGGCAATCTTTAACTGACTCAATATATGTTGTTGTTGTTGTTGTTGTTATGTGCTGTGGAGTTGGTTCCGACTCATAGCAACCCTGTATAGGGTGTCCGAGGCTGTAAATCTTTACGGGAGCAGAAAGCCTTATCTTTCTCCCATGGAGCAGCTGGTAGTTTTGAACTGCTGACCTTGCGGTTTGTAGCCTGATTCGGAACCACTACGCTACTAGAGCTCCTTATATAGAAGCAGAAAAATTAAATGTTAGTAAGCTTGCCAGCTTTTACCTTTCAAAAAGCACCATAATGAAGACAATTCACAATCCAAGAAAAAATATTTGCAATTTATATCACAAATAAAGGGCTAATATTACATAATAAGGTTTCTGTGTCTTTAAATCTTCATGGGAGCAGAAAGTCTCATGTTTCTCCTTTGAAGCAGCTGGCTGACTGAAACTGAGGGCCTTGTGGTTCACAGTCTACTGCTTAGCATATGGACCCATTGTGGTGTTCTCCGAATAACTGATAGTTGACATCTAGTAACCTGGTCTATATCTTTGGATTTGCTTTTAACATTGTATTATTGTAATTTACCAAAACCTGTGATTTGCTAGTGGTTCTGTAGGATAAGCACTAGACGGGGAACCACAAAGTTGGCTGTTTTGTGATGAGGCTTTCTTCTCCCAAAGAGATTTACAGCCTGGGGGACCCTATGCAGAATCCCTATAAGTCAGTTGGAACAGACTCAAAGACACTTAACATCTTTTACCTTTTGACATGGAAATCCCACTTTTAGGAATCTATTCTGAGATACACTTGAAAATGACTAAATTTTTTAATCCAAAAATCAGTAACTGATTAAATGTAACTGTTGTTGTTGTTAAGTACTGTGGAGTCTGCCCCAACTCATAGCGACCCTGCACAGGGTTTCCGAGGCTGTATATTTTTACTGGAGCAGAACGCATCATCTTTCTCCAGTGGAACCACTGGTAGTTTCAACCTGCTGACCTTGAGATTGGCATCCCAACTCATAACCACTACGCCAGAGCACCTTATTGTACATACAATGAAATTTTACATAACAATTTTTAGTAGTTTATGTTTTATTCCAGTTATTATATGCAGAATAATTGTTTTTTGATATGCACTTCTATGCGCTGACTTTCAAACATTTGAAAAACACATTATTGTGTAAAAAATTGCTGGTAATTCGCCCTCCAATATTTCCCTTTATTTCTTTGGATACTTCACAATAAAATCTGTAGCATCAAAGATGAGAAATTTTTGCCCTTCATCTTTTCCCCATGTATGATTATTGTTATGACTTGCTTGCCAAGACCCATTATTTGTAGCCTCCACCTTCTTAGTTCTTGAATAATGCAAAAGGTTAAAGTACTTGGCTGCTAACTGAAGGATTGGAGGTTCAATTATACCCAGAGGAGCCTCAAAATAAAAGCATGGTAATCTACTTTGGGGAAATCAGATAACCTAAAAACAAAACATCTGACACAATGCTATTTCCATGAGTTAGGGAAGGGGGAGCAAGAGTGTGAAATGCCCATATCTGAGCAGATGGAGTCAGACAAAACAATGGAAAAATAGAAAAACACCAACAGAAAAATAAAACCACTGGTTGTTACTGATTTGTATATGGAATTGGCATAGCGGCAGTGGGCTAAAGCCTAACAATTCTCAGGATAGTGCAAGACCAGGCAGTTGGTTTATTCTGTTCTGCATGGGATTGCACCGGCTCCACAGAACCGGCTCCACAGCACCTAACAATTGAGCTGCACTGAATAAACTCGATTCATTATACTGTTTATTCGGATACAAATAATTATTAAAATCTGAATACCAGGATTTAAAGTTCGAAAGGTTAAGTGGTGCTGGAGTCCTGGTGTGGCACTATAGGGTAATACACTAGACTGCAAGGTTGGTGGTTCAAATTCACCAGCCGCTCTCGTAAACCCTAAGTAGGGTCGCTTTGAATTAGAGCCAACTTCAAGGCACTTAATAACAAGAGGCGCTTAATTCAGCAGCACGGTTCCGGGTGTTACTGTGGGGTGACACCACCAGGGTTGAAAGCACAGTGAGATTTAAAATATCTAATCAGGGCAGTTGTCCTAAAAACACGCAGGAAAAGCTGGTGAGAGCTTTTGAGTTTCAGGTCAAACTCGTTGGCCCCCACCAAGGAAGTTTCACTCTAACCTGTCATAGCACTACAAGTGTGTAAGGCCTACTTGGGAGACTCTTTGAGGTACCATCTGTGCCCCATCCAAGCCAAGCAGGTCACCACCAAGCTCAGACTAAAAGCGCCCACCACACTAATAGGTTGTAAAACTATAGGTTTCTCGGCCACCTGATTTTTGGTAAGGGTCGCTTAAGGATACCCTGAGCTCACGGGCCACAGATTTGTTATACAAGACCTCATATAAGCAGAAAAGGATTCCTGGTGTGGCACTGTATGATCAGCACCGTACTGCTAACTACAAGGTCGGCAATTCATTAGCCGGTTCCTTAGAAACGCTAACTCCTATGTCTTAGTCGGAATCGATTGGAGGGTCGCAAATTGAACCTCGCTTCCAGCTTGGGGCAGAGCGGAACCCAGCCTAATGGAGTTACTCACCCAGGTGATTCTAGTCTTCTCTAAAATATTAATGGGTTGGAAGTATAAACTTACTGAGGCGAGTCGAACTCACCAATTAATTCTACCCAGGTGTATGTAGCCCCAACCGGCTGAAAATCTGTAAAGCTCTTTTACTGAAATTTGTAGGTGGCTCTTAAAAGAGCCGTTTGGTTACTGAAGAAGCTTCCAACCAGCACTTTACTTTTTCTTGGGAGCTGCCTTCTTCGGCTTGGCAGCAGCAGTCTTCGGCTTAGTCACCTTTGCCTTCGCTGCCTTGGGCTTCACCGCTTTAGCTTTAGGGCTCTTAGGTACCTTTTTTGCCTTGACAACTTTCGGCTTCTTAGGACTCTTGGAAGGTTTCTTTACCGCTGCAGGCTTCTTGACTTTCTTTGGAGTCTTAGCACTCTTCTTGGCAGTAGCCCCAACCGCCTTTTTGGGCTTCTTAGCGCCTGCTGCCTTAACTTTTGCCGCCAGCTTTGTGCTGCTAGGCTTGGCTTCCGCAGAGGTCCCCTTTTTATTCAGCTTGAAAGAGCCCGAAGCACCGGTGCCCTTGGTCTGCACAAGGGTGCCTTTGCCCACCAGGCTTTTAAGGCCCAATTTGATGCGGCTGTTGTTCTTCTCCACATCGTAGCCGGAGGCCGCCAGCGCCTTCTTGAGGGCGGCCAGAGATACGCCGCTACGCTCCTTTGAGGAGGACACTGCCTGTACTATGAGCTCCGACACTGAAGGCCCCGCGGGCTTCTTGGCAGCAGCTGCAGCCTTCGAGGGCTTCTTTGTCTTCTTGGCAGCTGGAGATTTCTCAGGAGGCGTGGGAACCGCAGGAGCAGCCGGCGCGGTTTCGGACATGATGACCAACAGAGGCGACCAGAGAAAACTGCTAGCACCTGAAGGAACAGAAGAACGCTTAACACCCGAGTGCCGAGTATTTATAGGGCGGGGCCGCGCCGTGATTGGTGCGCTCCAGTGCCCACCCCTCCCGCAACCAGAGCGCCCCCTGCACCCGGGTCCAGCTGGCTACATTTCAGGCAGCCAGTTTACTCAGGCATCTTCGGCGTCTCGCCTGGCGCGCAAGCGCACCCAGATACGCCAGCAGTCTAGGCTTTATTCCCACTTACTGTGAGTTGCTGGGTCGAACTCTGTCTCCCAGTTACGTCAGATCCTGCACCAAAGTACATGCTATTTGTTTGGTAAACAGAGGCAATTAAAATTCCAATGGCATGATAGGTTCACTCAAACTCCATTGATACTGTAAGTGTAAAGTTTCATGTCAGAATGCTGTTTCTGTAACTGCAAATTTCCGCAGTCTAGCCAATAATTCTCATGCATGAATTTTCAATGCCTTTGTAAAGTCATCCCTAAAACATACAGGCCCAGACGTTTACAACCTGTACGCGTATGTACGAGGTTGGCACATGCTTTGATACGTTAACTTGAAATATTCTAAGTGCTTAGGTCAAAATTGGCCAGACAAGAGCTGAGTTAAATAAATGGAGTGGACTTGACAGTTTCCTGACAGATTATATGTTAAGTGGCTTCAATCGACAGATTGACTATATGATGGGGTTTTACCTCACTTTATTAGGAAAGTGAAGGGGAGGCATAGATTCGAGGTTAATTGCTCTCTAATTTACATTTATAAGGAGTATTTGGAAGCTAAGAAACACTGTTAACCAGAAACTACCAGGAAAAATAAAATGCCGTTACACAGGCGTTTCAGTATACGTTCCTGCTCAGGGTACATTGCTCCCAGCACTCCCACTAGCAAGCAGATGACGTCTTTCGCGCGCGCGCACGGATACCGCTCTCAAACACGTCCGCTGTTATACCAGCTAAATTATGATTGTCTCCTCCCTCAAACAACCTAATTGTTGTTGCTAAGTGCTGTCCAGTCGGTTCCGATTTATAGCGACTCTGTATAGGGTTTCCGAGTGACTGGTGAGCTTTGGAATAGGTGGTGTAAGAGACATACGTGCGTTTTCCGATCACCTTTTTAATAATTTATTATTTGAAAATTAAATAACCTTTTAAAATACATGATAAAACAGCAAATAAAAAAACTACACGTCGCTATTTTAATTCCAAGGCAGTGCGGCGGCTCCATACTATAAACACTGGGCTGCCACCCACAACATCGGCGGTTCCAGATCAGCAACCGCTCAGCGGAAGAAAGATGAGGCTTTCAGCTCCCGTGATAATGTAAAGCCTCGGAAACCCTATACAAGGGTCTCTTATGAATCAGAACCGACTCCACGGCAGCTATTTTACTTCTCTGTTGTTGTTTACATCTAGTTAGTAGCAAAAGACCAATATACAAGCTTCTTAGAAGGCAGTGCACTTTGAAAGACTTTTACTAGTGTGACAAATGAGGCGCCTAGTGCCTCCAACAATAACTACTAAAAGATCCTAAAATTAAAAAAAAAAAAAAGCCTCCAAATTAGCGAATTCAAGGAAGGGTTCTACACTAGTTTGTTACAAATTCAGTATTGTCTCTTGTTTTTTCCCTTACATTGACTGCAAATAAAATGAAAGTAACCAATGCAAATGAGGTACGCGAGATCTGGTTTTTAATTGGCTACAGACTAAAGTTCTCAGCCAATAAAAAGTAACATTCTGTGCAAACGCTTGACGCTCTCCTCCCTCCTTTTGAAACGTAACCTGTTTATAAAGTTTTCCTGGGAAAATATAACAAAATACTGGTTACAGAAAGTTTCGGTGTGTGTAAAGTGCCGTCGAGTCGGTTCTGACCCATAGGGATTCCGAGGAGTGACTGGTGAACTTGAACCGACTCGGAATCCATATCGATTTCAGTAAAAGGTTAGCGTTCTCCGGTCACTTTGAACATTGCAAAGGATTCCCTCATTTTTTAATAAAAGATTTCAAGAATTTCCGAACTGATGTCCTAGACAGGGTCGCTGTGAGTTGTAATTGATTAGACAGCATATCACCATCAACCGGTAGTAGAGGCGCACGAAATAAAGAATACAATCCACAGAAGCCGCGAATAGGCAGTATTCCCTTATTTTCCTAAGAACTAAGGGGTTTTACTAAGGTGCTACAACAGTATTAAAATCAACACCTTTATGGGAAAACTACCTTATTAAGCATTGAATTCAGATCAGTAAAAGATACCGCTAAAAGGTAAAAAGTGAAGGGAGAGTGGTTGGTGGTGGCGGTGAGTGTGGAAATAGCCAATGAAACGGCTTTAAAACTGGCCAATCAGAACATGGCGCGCGACATTTAAGCGTTTATTCTTATCCAATCACTACACATCAGGTACTATAAATATTAGCGCGGCCCCTTGGTAGTGCATTTCCAAAAGTTCTTCGCTATTTGCAACACTTTGTCACCATGGCTCGTACAAAGCAGACCGCTCGTAAGTCTACTGGAGGGAAAGCGCCGCGCAAGCAACTGGCTACCAAGGCGGCCCGCAAAAGCGCTCCCGCTACCGGCGGCGTGAAGAAGCCGCATCGCTACCGCCCTGGAACGGTGGCCCTGCGTGAGATCCGCCGCTACCAGAAATCTACTGAGTTGTTGATCCGGAAGCTACCGTTCCAGCGGCTGGTGCGCGAAATTGCGCAGGACTTCAAGACCGACCTGCGTTTCCAGAGCTCGGCCGTGATGGCGCTGCAAGAGGCGTGCGAGGCCTACCTGGTAGGCCTTTTTGAGGATACCAACCTGTGCGCTATTCACGCCAAACGTGTCACTATCATGCCCAAGGACATCCAGCTGGCCCGTCGCATCCGCGGGGAGCGGGCCTAATTGCAGTATCTTTCATAGAAAAATCACCAGTCAAAGGCTCTTTTAAGAGCCACCCACATTATCAAGTAAAATAGCTGCAGTAAATGCTACCTACCACTCGGGAACTACATACAGGGTCGCTATGGGCCCAAGTGTGGCAACAATAGGCCCAGGATAGGGCAGTGTTTCGTCTGTTCTGCTGTGCATTACGTTACCATGGATCAGTACCGACTCGGTAGCACCTGTACATGAGTCGGGACCAACTTGGGTATTTAAGACGGTTAACCTTACATCCCATCTCTCAGTATTTACGATTTTCACTTTTCAGTTTCCTTTTAAAAGAGTTTCTTCCCTGAGTTCCTTTATTAGGCAACTGACCTTGGTGTTCCCGAGAGGTATAAGGACCCACATTCGGTGACTTAAGTGTTTGCTTAGTTTTGAGAAGCAAAACTGCTCCTCTACGCTGCATCCCATACATTAATGCATATATTTGAGGCACAGGTATAATATCCTGTTGAGTGCCATCGAGTCTGCTTCGACCCATATCGACCTTGTACAGGGTTTCCGAGGCTGTAAATCTTTACGGGAGCAGAAAGCCTCATCTCTTCCCCCCGGAGCGGCTGGTAGTTTCTTATTGCTGACCTGAAGTTTCGCAGCCCGATTCGTAATCACTACGCTACCAGAGCTCCTTAGAATCTGTAAAACATTCGTGGGTATAGACCCACTGAAAATTTTATTTTAATATCATGTATACATATATATAAGAGCTCTGGTAACTCCCAAGCAGAACAATTAATTCCGTTTAGGAAGCAAAATCCAGTTGCAAAACCCAGCTCCATCCTATTTCAGCATTTGGAGGGTTTAAGGGCGGGGAATGTGGCGTCATAGTCAAACCTATATATATATATATACTCGTGGGTATACTCCTACTGAAAATTTCGCTTAATGTCTATACATATATATATAAGAGCTCTGGTAACTCCAAGTAAAACAACGCAGTTTAGGAAGCAAAATCCATTTGGAGGTTAAACCCAGCTCCACCCTATTCCAGCATTTGGAGGGAGGAGGCTTAAGGGCGGGGAATGTGGCGTCACAGTTCCCGCCTGAGCGTTTTACGTTCTCTACGCGGAAAGGTGGGGAGTAGGGGGTGGGAGGAGAGAGAATGGTTATATAAGACAAAGCATCTCTTTCTCTCTCTCGTTGATTTTCTTGGTAGTCATGTCAGGTCGTGGCAAAGGCGGGAAGGGTCTTGGAAAAGGCGGCGCCAAGCGCCACCGTAAGGTACTCCGCGACAACATCCAGGGCATTACCAAACCTGCCATACGGCGCCTAGCTCGGCGCGGCGGCGTGAAGCGTATCTCTGGTCTGATCTATGAGGAGACTCGTGGAGTTCTGAAGGTCTTCCTGGAGAACGTAATCCGCGACGCCGTTACCTACACCGAGCACGCCAAGCGCAAGACGGTCACCGCCATGGACGTGGTCTATGCGCTCAAGCGCCAGGGACGCACCCTCTATGGCTTCGGGGGTTAAAGTTCTCATCTTGTCCTTTTGAGTCTATTTTCCAAAGGTCCTTTTCAGGACCACCCAACAGATCAAAAGAAGAGCTGTCACAATCCAGTGCATATATTCTTAGCCATGGTGCCTCTAATCCAGTTAGTATTTTTTCGTTTGTTTTCATTTTACTACTAAAAGATAAAATTTAGTCTAGTACTTGTAGACACACACGTAACAGAATCAGTCGATGGCGCACGCTTTACCCACCTAGCTGACCTCGCCCCACTCACTAGATAAAGCAGTAAATTACTAGTTAAAAGCAGGAACCAAGTATTCTCAGGCGCTTGCATTGGTTTCCAGCGAACAAAGAGAAACACTGTCCAATCAGCAAACTACCAGTGGCTATTATCCAATCAGGACCGATGAGCTAATGCTGGCTGCCTCGAGGGAGTCAGGGGGATGGGAAATCCGAAACCCGGCGAAAAAAATCTAAAACTAATTAAACATTCATAATGAAGACATTATTTCTTTATCCCAAATCCTACCTGATTCTTGGTTCTCCAAACATCTACATGGTTGCCTTCCTGAACTTGTCCTCATTCTTTTAAAAATTGTAATGCAAAGATGACTATTTCTAAGTGCTTCTAACCCATGAAAATTATTGATATGCTTACCCTAGACACCTCCTTGCATTAGTTTTTTCCTTTGTATCTTGATTACAAAAAAACCAAAAAACCAATTGGACTGAAGGCAGCCCCATTTGTCCGAGTAGATGAGCTCCAAAGGTTCTTAATTGTGTTGTAACATGAAATCTCAAGGATTTTTGCTTGGGACTCCAGACAGCGTAATTTCTTCTTGTGCTTAGGTTTAAGTGTTCATATGCCAAGTTTTCTTGAATAACTCATACATCTCTCAAATATGAACTGCCAATGTTTGAAACAAGAGTATATTTGTAAGTGGGTTTGGGACCATTTCCCTCATAGCAACATTCCTAGACCTATTCCTTTATGGTTGCTTAGTTGTGATGTCATACCCCCAAACCTCAGAGACTAAATTTTTTTATCTGTAATAGTCCCCTCCCTACTTTCCACAGGCCTGGCATAGATATGTGACACATGGCTGCTGCCTTCAGTCATAGTTGTGGGAGGAGATTCCTTTGTTCTCTGTGCCTAATAAAAGGTCACCAAACAGCAACAGCAGCACGTGGAGACAGAACTTGGAAACTCATCATGATGTCCATGATTTCTTTCATCCATGTTCCTTGTAAAGGGTCTGTGTAGCGTGTCTTTCTAGTCTGCCACCTTGTCGGAAGTCAACTGTTAGCTTTTTGAGTTTATATTCTCTACTGGACCTAGCTCATGGAATTGACAGTTCAGAAGTTTGGGTTTCTTTCTGGTTACCTAAATCTGGCCCAGCATATACATAGGTGCTTTTGAAACTTTTGTTCCGTTTATGAATTAAGTTTTTACATTACCCTTAAAAATTTCATCCCTAATGATCACTCAGCAGAATTTGAATTTACGTATACCTGAATCTTAAATCTGCATGAGTCTTTACTTCAGACCTGGTGGTGGTGGTGGTTATGTGCCGTGGAGTCTGTTCCGACTCATAGCTACCCTGTGCACCCTGTGCAGGGTTTCCGAGGCTGTAAATCTTTACGAGAGCAGAAAGCCTCATCTTTCTCCCGCGGAACAACTGGTAGTTTCGAACAGCTGGCCTTGCGGTTCGCAGCCCGATTCCTATACCAGAGCTCTCTGGTAGCGTAGTGGTTACGAATTGGGCTGTTAACCTCAAAGTTGGCCGTTCAAACCTACCAGCCATTCCGCGGGAGAAAGATGAGGCTTTCTGCTCTCATCAAAACTTAACAGCCTCGGAAACCCTGTACAGGGTGCACAGGGTCGCTATGAGTCGGAACAGACTCCGAAGTACTTAACAACAGAGTCCTAAGCAGCTCTGGTAGCTTAGAGGTTATGAGTCAGGCTGCTAACCTCAAGGTCAGTGGTTTAAAACTACCATAGGTGAAAAATAAGGCTTTCTGCTCCTATTAAGATTTACAGCCTCAGAAACCCTGTATGGAGTCACTGAGTCTGAATCAACTCCACAGCACACCACCAACGGAGTCCTAGTGGCTCAACAGCTCTGAATCCTAAAATATTACAGCAGCTCCAGACCCGTAGCCGAAGAAACCAAGGCCAATCAGAGAGGGTGAAGCTGGCTGGTTTAAAGAAGCTAGCTTTTCCAGATTAGGATCCCTAGTGTAGGTGTTGTTAAGTGCCGTCGAGTCGGTTGCGACCCATAGCGACCCTATATACTATATAGGGCTTCTGAGGCTGTAAATCTTTAGGGAGCAGAAAGCCTCATGTTTCTCCCGCGCTCGCGCTCCGAGCGACTGGTAGTTTCGAACTGCTGACCTGTGTTCACAGCCCAATTGGTAACCACTACGCTACCAGAGCTCCTTAGTGTAGGTGTAGTACAAGACTATGGGGATAGAACAGGAGGGAACTCAGAAGACTGGTTCCGCTAGGTAACCTAATTAACATTCCAACTTGTCTCCTAGGAGAGGAGGATTTGTCCCCTTCAGTAACCTAATTTAACATTCCAGTTTGTCTCCCGGGAGGAGAAAGCAGTGAATGCTTTTACCTTTTCCTATTCAGTGTGACACTACGGGTTAATTCTCTTTACTGCAAGGTCAGCTTGAACCGCAAGGCTAGCGGTTCAAGCTCACTGGCCACTCCTCGGAAACCCTATACAGGGTCACTGTGAATCGCAACCGTCTTGACTGCACTTAACAACAATAATGGAGCCCTGGAGCCTTGATGTGGCGCTGCAGGATAATGTCTGGACTGCAAGATCAGTTTGAACCACAAGGTCGGCGGTTCAAACTCACCATTCGTTCCTTGGAAACTCTATACGCTCTGGTAGCGTTGTTGTTTGTTGTTGTCAGGTGCCATCGAGTCGGAACCGACTCATAGCGACCCCATGCACAGCAGAACGAAACAATGCTCGATCCTGGGCCAACCTCACCA